TTAAAGACTTAATATTACAAAACAAATCTCCGCCTGGGTTACATGTGTGTGGAGTTTGCATGTTCTCCCTGTGTCGTCGTGGGGTTTCCTCCGGGTACTCCGGTTTCCCCCCACAGTCCAAAGACATGCTGAGGCTAATTGGAGTTACTAAATTGCCCATAGGTGTGCATGTGTGAGTGAATGGTGTGTGAGTGTGCCCTGCGATAGGCTGGCCCCCTGTCCAGGGTTGTTCCCTGCCTCGTGCCCATTGCTTCCGGGATAGGCTCCGGACCCCCCGCGACCCAATAGGATAAAGCGGGTTGGACAATGAATGAATGAATGAGTGAATATTACAAAACAAAAACTAGGAAGGAAAACAGGATGCAGCTCTAACTAAACTAACCAAGACAAGCAACAACCCACACATAGATAATGAACCACTGGGAAACTGAACAGAAGCAGGAACTAAAATACTAAAGGGGTAACGAGACTAACACAGGACAGGTGAGACTAATTAACAAAGACCAGGGAAACAGGGCACAGGTGAAACTAATAAACTCAAAGGAACTAAAAAACAGGGAAACTAAGAACTAACCAAGGAAACATAAACCAACACTAGGGAACTAAATAGGTAAAGACACAAGCAGGGGCACAAGGAACAAAACCAAAACCAACTACAAAATCAGACACAAGGACTAACGAAACTCAAATGGAACACTAGGGAGCAAAATACAAAAACAGGAGGTGGGATTCGAACACAGGACAGAAGGGTACACAAACAACCACATGCTCAACACATTGAGCCGCAAGTGGGTCGTCCACCATCCTTTCTGTGCCTGCACCATGCCTCGTTCCCGTGCCCAAGCCGCTCGCAATCATGACAAAATGAGCATGACCAGACAGGGAATAGGGGAGAACAAAGACTAACATAAAGAACGGGATGACCAGCAACACCTGCTGGTCAAACGGGGAAGGGACACGGAAGGACCACAGCAGGGGCTGACCCTGACACATTTAAGAGTAGTTTGTCTTTCTATATATTGTCTAGTATCTCATTTCTTAAGTGAGTGTACAGTTCAGCTGCATGGTATGCATCTTCAGGTGCAGTCCAACCATTTTCATCCATGAGAAGGGCACAGAATTCAAAGACTGTTTCATCACAGGGGTACTGACCCTTTGGGGTGCATTCCTCTTTGCAAATATCTACCTCTCCTGGGAGAACAGATTTTAGGTTGTTCTCCCCCATCCATAAATTTACGGAACACAAAACATTAGAATTGGGCATCTTCCAGGAACTCCTTGGGCTGGCTTTGGAATTATTTTATGAGAGTTCCATGTCCTCACAACGTCATCTAGTTCATCCTGCATGAAAACAAATATCAATAATGTGCTACAACCTGATCAACCACCCTCTCAGCATATATAGCATAGTACAGTGAAGAATATTCAACTTCAGCACTGTTCAAGAGGTTTGATGCAGAGAAAATCTTCCAGTTACACCTACACTTATAAATGAATAACTTTGATCATTTCAATGTTAATAATATTTTAAGACTTTATTTATTAGGTATTCATTTATGTCCTTGGTAATGAGAAATTATATGTGTAAAATCGAATTTTGTGATACCTGCACAAGATTAAGAAAGCAGAACACCTGGAGACCAGGATAAATCTTGGACTCCACATGTCATCTGTACCAGTTGTTCAAAAGTGACAAAAGACTGAAAAGAGTGACTGTCACTCTCAGTGCGTGACACTTGAGAGCCCTGCAAGGTGTACACAAGAAAATCAAACTCAGCGTTTTTGAAGAAACAATGGTGGTTAACACTTTTCAATTTCTTTATGCCCACTGTCTGTTTGATTTTGCTATAAAGACATTTTACCCTATACTACAGTGATGCTTTTGTTTTAGTACACAATACTTGCGATTACAGTATTAACTAGCATTACTCATAAATCAAAAAGTTGACGTGACAGAAAAAAACTGAAAACAAATATGGAATCAGCGTGAAAAACTGATTTGGAAAAATGTGTTTTGGTCTCTGATGATTTAAAAAAATGTTTTGTTGTCCTGTGTTATCTGATCTATGGACCTTAATGGTGATTTTTATTGTTCTGCGTTCATTTTATTTATAATATCGTAGTATTTCACCTGATATTGTAACTGCATAAAGCAGCCTGTGTTCTATTAGCAAACGTGGGGTATCCATTTAAAGGGGTATAGTTCTTTGGTTAGCAATATGGACTATTGCAAATCTATTAGTGTGGCATTCATTAGTTGGAAGCATACGTTATGTAGGCCACATTTATAATCTACTGTGTATGTCTAAATATTGTGACAGTCAATCAGCAAGGACTTAATTATGCAGGTTACCAGCCTGTCTTGCGCCACACCGCCAGTGTGTGCTAAATGGTAATTTAATATGTGTGCATTTACATTGTAAATGTGGTGGCCCGGGGTAAAAGACCCCAACAGTTATTTATTTTGGTTTTACTCTTAAGTTTATTTTAACCCCCTTTGGATCTCCTGGAGCACGGTCAACAGAGAAGAAACAATCACAGGTAGTAGTGAGGTTTGTTACGAGCACATTTATTGAATACACAAAGGTATTGCTTCTCAGCCCGGATGCAATCCTCCATTGTTTGGACACCCCCCTCCCAACACAACAGTGATCGACACAGCAGCCTCGTTTAAACCACAGCACTACACACCAATATACACAGCAATTAGTACTTTACACTCAACACTACACCCTCTGTGCAAGCACAGTACACCTAAGATTTCACTATGGGATGGGGGGGGGGACACTACAAGAGGCACATCACCAGACAAGGAAGAAAAAAGAATAAACACTCTCATTCAATAAATAGTGTACAAAATTAAGACGTAAATAACAAACTTAATAACCGGGGGGCTCTGCGCCCTCACCGCGAGGCCCTCGCTAAACCAAAATAAATCACCAAACTAACAAATTTTCCAACAGCACTCCACACCCTTAGTACTCCATTGCTCAATCCTGGGTGACTCGAATCCCGATCTTCCAGCTTGGCTCACTTCACGTCGGCACCGCCCCCAGCGCTGGCGTCTTCCTTCCACTCAGTCCGTACCGGTCACTGCTTCACGTCGCCGACGGCCCCTCGCCTCTGTCGCCTCACGGACCCGATGGCAAAAAGGCAACACCAAACAGGCAAAAAACCCTCAGACCCTTCTCTATTCCCCCCTCAGCCATAAGGCAAAATGCACGCTGGATTAACTGCAGCCACTTCCCTTCATGCCGGCTTGGAGATCACAGTGGGTCTGGGTCGCTCTCTCTCCATCCAGTCCGTTCGCTGCTCAGATCGCCAAGCTGGTCCCACTCCCCATCTCTCTCTCGGTGCTGCTCCAAGCAGCCCCGGTGCTTTTATTCACCCGCTGCACTCACAAACCTGCACACACCGGAGAGGAAGAGAGAAGATCCCGTGGCCGCTGCTCCTGCCGCCGACACCGCTTCCGCTTCGGGACTTGGACCACCGCGCCGTGATCCACTCGCCTCCGGTTCGTTGTCGTTGTCTGTGCAGCGAACAGCAAACCACATTACCAGGAGTCCCAAAGGTCTAGTCTTCCTGCTACATTGCGGAACACGTCCTTCCCAGGCGGAGCCGCGGAACCCCCAAACAATGGTGGCTGCCATCTTTAAAAGTCCCAAGTCCCGCCGCGCCAGCTCGTTGTCATGGAGCCGGCCAATCGATTGCCTAAGGCAAAGCTACCCCGGACCCACATAGCTGTTCAGGGTGCTGCCAGAACAAAACCAATTTAGGGAAGAAAAAAAAAAAACAAGACTAACACAAACACAAAATTATAGAAGCCCAATACTATGGAAGCCCATTTCCGCCAGTAAAAGAAAAAAAAATGAAATAGAAAGTCGAAATAACGAGATGTAAAATCATAATTACGAGATAGAAAGTCGAAATTACGAGATACAAAGTCATAATTACGAGATAGAAAGTCATAATTACGAGATAAAAAGTCGAAATTACGAGATACAAAGTCATAATTACGAGATAGAAAGTCATAATTACGAGATAAAAAGTCGAAATTATGAGATACAAAGTCATAATTACGAGATAGAAAGTCATAATTACGAGATACAAAGTCATAATTACGAGATAGAAAGTCATAATTACG